ACACACACACACACACACACACACTCACTCACTCACTCACTCACTCACTCACTCTCACACACACACGCACACACACTCTGATCAAATCACACTGCAGTGACACTGCTGATCACACACTGACACTGGTTTTCAGTGATTTATTTGCACGGTATGATTATTACGATTTCTTGCCATTCAGGTAAAGCAGAAGCATGTTGCTGGAATACACAGTAACTCTTCATTGATGCACTGAGTTGTGTATTTTCAGGTTCGATATAACGGCCCGTTCACATCAAAAACAACAACAAAAGCCTAAATTGATGAAAGTGCAGGCACATTAGCGAAATTAAGTTCCCAGTATTTTTTCTTCTTTGTTAGGTTATTCGTTAGCATTTTATGCATTTAGTATATAACATAACACACGTATCAATTGTTGTTTTATCGTTTATTTAATTTTTACTCATTATAATTCCTACAATTAATTCCACTTTAATTTGTTCATTATTTACTCATTTTTTATTTTATGATTTATTATATTTATTTTAGAATCTTATCATGCATTTTTAATTATTTTTCTATTTCTTCATTGTTGTTCACTGCGTTTTATTTATTTGATAAATGTTTATATATTTAATAAAAGGTATACATGTGTATGTATGCATTTTTTATTTCATATTGCATATTTCATTCTTTTATTATTTAGGCTATTTAGTTGTTGTTTTTTTTAAGTATTTACATACTATTCATTCATTCCCCCCCCCAGTGTTTATCATTATAGTTAGCTTTTTGTTGCTGCTGTAAACAGACAAATCTAGAGAAATCTAGACATTTGTGACAGAAAAAATGCATTTTTTAAGTTTAAGGCACCCGGTGGCTGTTTGTGGTATAACGCCCTAAATAAAATCTCACAGAAACCTCCATTTTTTTCATATCAACTTCAAATTTGGAACATAACTTTAGACAAGACTTTAAAAAAATTTTTTTTTTTAGCAATTTTAGAGTAAAACCTGTTACGTAAAATATTTATTTTTATAAAATATAATAAAAAATGTCCAGTGCATTTTCTTTACAGTAAATTTAAACTTCTATAACTATAATTTTTAATGCCTTTTAATGCCGATTTAAAAAAAATGGGGGGTGATATTTGATAAGATGTGTCTTGTGTTATTTCTCTCAGACGTGTAATTCACCGTCCGGGTCTCCCGTTCATTGCTGCCGTGAACGCAGCCGTTCAGGAGTGGAAGAACATCTCCGTCTCTGAACGCCAGCCGTACTACAACACTGCCAGGATGTGAGCTGAAAAACTAACAAATCACACACACTTCTGACACCGAGATGATGGAGGATTGTTAGTTACTCACATTTATATTAATTACTATACAGTAATTGTGTGTTAGTTTGATGCCATCTTGATTGTGGAAACGGTGGATAAAGAGCGAATCTCACAGTAGGAATGAAGATTGCCACTGGAAGTCTTTCGGGAGTTTATCTGGAAGTTTGTATTCTCCTGTAGGTTCTCCGATATGGAAAAACAGGACAAGAGCGCCAACAGAGCGGAAGATCATCCGACTATTCCTCAGACAGACAAACGCAAAGGTCAGGATTATGGGTCAAGATTAATAAAACAAACATTTCACTTTTGCTCTTGGGCGTCATATTTGAAAAAAAAAAACTTCAGTCAGCAAGTAAATTAAACAATGGTGCATGTATTGATTAAAGCAATAATCCAAGAAGCCGTGGTTTACAGTGAATTTATAACAGTTAAGGGGCATTGTTAGGTACGACATGAAGTGGTTATTCCATACACGTAGTAAGGTTTCACAAAATAAAACAGAGCAAATAAAGTGTAATGATATTAATAAAAACAGTATTCTTCCACCAAACAATGTAGTTCCTCAGAAACAGTTGTGGTTGCTACAAAGTGGTTGCTGAGCAACACACAAACGTAAACAAAGGTGTGTTACTTTGTAGAGTCATTTACAACAGCTTCGAAGCGGCTCAGCAAATCAGAATCAAGCACCGGAACTCTCCGGTTTATAATATTATTTTACATTCCAAGCTAATCTTCATCTATGATTAAAATAGAGAGTAAACACTGAGACTCGTCACATGACCAGAGATCTGTCTGTCTTCAGGTCGACGCTCGGGGAAAGTGAAGAAAGCGGGTAAAAGATCTAAAAAGGGCATCCAGGATCTCACCGAGGGCGCGCTGGCCGAATACTCACAGCTCATGGACGCTCTGGGGTCAAAGGTCAGCGATGGGTCAGAGGTCACAGCAGCCGAAGAGGAGGATGTGTGCGGGCTGTTCCTCAACCAGCTGCTCGACAACCCGACTGAGGTCAACTGAAGTCTCACAAATGAATGGTGTTGCCCTGGAGTCGTGTTAAAGTGCGCTTTTCTCTCTTTCAGGCTGGTTTCGACATGGACTACATCAGCTCTCTGCTCTCCTCAGACGATTCCCAGGGCACGCTTTCCAGTATGATTCCCGAGCCAGTCGCTGGATGCTCGGATTGGACTCGCACAGCGGTTTCTGGAGCCCCGTCTGCTGTCCAACATGATTTCAGCTCCTCTGAAGCCACAAGTCACACGATGGAGAACGTATTAGTGCCATTTCGGGATAATATCAAAGGCCAAAATGTGTTTCGAACATCAACTCAACCTCTGCTAGCGAATCCCGAGGGCCAACGTTCCCAAACGGATCCAAACACTTCAGTCCAAGAAACTGCTCACCCTGATCTTCAAGACTTTGGTCTAGAAGCTGATGGAAACCAAAAAGACGAGGCTTCGTATGTTTCTGAACTCGACTGCGCCACTCAATCCAACGGCTTCAGTCTTCAGAACTACAATTCCCATCATGCAACATTCCCTCGTGCCATAAAACATGACCCAGAAGCACCAAAACCCCCGGTGGATGATAGAGTGGAGCACCGCGGAGAGAAAAACATGGAAGTTGGGCAAAAAACGGAGAAATGTATGCATGTAGGGCGTGCAAAAGACAACAATAACATGGATTCAGACCCTCCCAACGATTCCCAGAGAACGAGATGTGTTTGTACCAAACAGACATTGCCCAACAACACTGAGGAAAATAACGTACACAAAAATAAAACGCACAAGAGACGACGGAAGCAACAAAAGATCACGCTGCCTGTCGCAAGGAGGCTAAAAACAGCTGAAAACCCACGTGGAAAGACTCAACGAAAATCAGCGACGAAACTCGAAGCACGCGCGCAAGAAACCGATTTTTGTTGCAAAGCGTGCCCACGATTACGAAGACGTGACCAAACGTTTCAGAAAAGGTGGACGAAATGACCACTTGAGACATCATAAACCATAAACACAAACCACAGGAAACGTCGCGTCTTTATTTAAGAAGTTTAATATATTAAAGTATAAAATGACACTTCGACAGAATTCCTTCGCAGTACAGTACATCTTTGGTTTTTCCAATATACAAAGCTTAAAATATACACTTTTAAATACACACACAGATCCTTCAGACTTCATGATAAAATATATATATATATATATAGGTATTCGTTCCAAGGCACATTGATTAGGTATATTCTCACAGTATCATTCCACAGGACAAATTAACAATAAGGCACAAGGAAGAAATCATGTAAACGTAACCTCACTATGACATTCTCTTGCGCTCACAGTCCATGCTAGTTAATGCTTGCGCAGTCGGAGGGCTAACGCTATAAATCCCGTTGTTGTTCCCGTTGGGAATCCCATTGTGATTTCCGTCTGCAAGCCCGCTGGAGTGGAGATACTCGTGAAGGACTTTCCGATAAACTGGATGCATCATCAGCAAGTCTTGCAGAGAAGCTTCAGGAGATCAATACGTAATTGATTAGCATAACGCACTTAAATAGGAGCGTGAGCAGCTCAGTGATGCTTACCTTCAGTCGGTCGCCCCCTGGTGGTCAGCGCGGAGTACATCTCTTCCACCTCGTACTGAGGGATGCCCACCAGCGCCCCCATCAGACCGGACAGATCTCCCGCGCTCAGCAGCCCGTCCTGGTCAGAGTCGTACCACTGCGAACACACACACACACACACCACATCATGATTTAGCCCTTTAAACCGGCATCACACCAAGCTGGAGTCATGCTCCCGACTGCACCATCACAATCATTCAAACTGCTCCTGACTGGAGACAACATGCGCTTTTCTGCATGCTTTTTTTTTTACGGTAATTTCTTGCTCTCCGTCGGCAAATAATGGCCGATTTCCGGGAGAGCGGGAAGAGGAAGGATTTGAACGGAGAGTTTTGGATCGCATGAAATAATGAAAGAAATGAACAAAAACACGGCAAAGGAGGAGTATTTTTGATGAGACTGAGCGAGTGTGTGTGTGCGCGCGCATCTGTATAGTGTGTTCGCGCATCTGTATAGTGTGCGTGTGTGTGTGTGTGCATCTGTATAATGTGTGTGCGTGTGTGCGCATCTGTATAATGTGTGTGATGTGTGTGATCTGTATAATGTGTGTGTGTGTGTGTGCATATCTGTATAATGTGTGTGTGTGTGTGTGTATATCTGTCTAGTGTGTGCATATCTGTATAATGTGTGTGTGTGTGTGCATCTGTATAATGTGTGTGCGTGTGTGCGCATCTGTATAATGTGTGTGTGTGCGCGCATCTGTATAATGTGTGTGTGTGTGCGCATCTGTATAATGTGTGTGTGTGTGCATCTGTATAATGTGTGTGTGTGTGTGTGCGCATCTGTATAATGTGTGTGTGTGCGCGCATCTGTATAATGTGTGTGTGTGTGCGCATCTGTATAATGTGTGTGTGTGTGCGCGCATCTGTATAATGTGTGTGTGTG